GACCTGCCTGAATAAGCCAGAGTCATCTCCCTAACTGCCAGCTGATTGGCAGTCTTGATTCCCCTCAGCATGAAACTTAACATATCCACGGATTCTGGAGATTAGAATGTGGCCATCTTTGGGGATGATTATTACACCTACCACAGGCTTAGAACGAAGCGTGAGGGGAGCAGTCTCTTCTCGTTTTTGCTGCTTCTCTTATGTGGCTCTCAGTAGGGACTATGCCTCAGAAATAACTTGTTGGGGACCTACCGCCTGGTAAGGGCGCCAATTGCATCTGCCAGCTGGGGACCTCTGGCCTGGATTAAACTCTTTCCTCCAGATCAGACCTGAATCCATGAATGCACTGCTTGGTGCCAGAAGGCCTGCTTTGTTCCATATGAATCACAAAGCCAAGCAGTGTCCTGGGCTCTTGGAGTTCTTGTGACACTCCCAGCAAGGAAGGCGGGCTCAGCTTGGCAGGCTGCTCAAATACCAGGTTGCATAGTTACATTCTCACACCATGAGACTCTCCTTGAGAGAGGCCTTGCAATTCAAGCTGAAACTGAGACATCTCTGAGTGCCAAGGCCCTGGATGCAGCCTGAAAAGTCTGTACAGTGACTCTGAATCTTCCACTGAAACAGCAATCTCAATACTTAAAACATTCCTAATTTGAAGGGTAATGAAAAACTTATAAGAAGAAGGAAAAAAAAAAGTCTCTCTTTTCTGCTTGGTTTCCTGGCACAAAGGTGGAGGGTGATTTTCATTTTGTTCGAGTCTCAGGCTGACTCTTCATCACACAGCATTTGTTTTTTTTTGTCTTTAGAAGGTTTGAAGTAATATGGCCTTATTGCCTAAATTAATAAAAAGCACTGAAGTTCAGTAAGTGTTCTAATGGCTTAGAAGAAAGTTACCAAGTAGTTCCAAAGTCCTCCTCCTGATCTAATGTCACACCAAGCCTGATTTCTGTCCTCCTTGTGCTGTCAATGGCATTTATGTGATCTTGGGATGACATTCAAGAGGAGCATCTAAATAACTGACCCGAATTATGTGCTCAGCCCGTTGTGTGCTAAAACACAGGTGGGTAAAGAAAGGGATGAGGAGGACGGTGTGGCTTTGCAGTCACCAAGAAAGGGACTTAGAAGTGGAAACTTTCCCAGAGCTGATCTTTATGCTTTCAAAGCTGTCAACTTGCTGAAGTTTGGGAATTTTTGATGGGTTCTGAAAGGACAGCAGTGCATGTAGGAACTGGCAGGAGTTCAATGAGCCATTTGACTGTCTGTTAGCCTAGTCTCTTGGCCCTCCTTCCCACATTTCTTCTTCCTAGTCTGCCAGTTTGGAGACCTCCATGCCAAAGCTCCTTTTATCTGTCTGTTATCTGGAGCCTATGATGTGTAATAAGCCCCTCCATTTGTCCCTTTTGATCCTCTCTTCTCAGCCACCTGGCTCTAGTCTGCTGGAAGTAGACACTGATCACTATCAGGGAAAACCTGGAGCCCAGGGGTGGCAGCCCTAAAGAGTGACAAGAGATCAAGGGTACACTTTACTATCTTCTTTTCTTAGAAGCTGACTGGTAACATACCAGACTCACCAACTGACATGGTCTCTATCTCCCAGGCTCTGAAGGCATCCATTCCTATCAGTTACTTTTAATAACCCTGAAGCTACCCCAGTCACATTCTGCTGCAAACAGGCAAGGTCTGCCTGGTAGGCCAGCATCCCTTAAGGTCTTTCCCTGGAAGAGCTGTTCTCCCCAGCTGCTTGGCTGTGGTTACTAACAGTGATCTGCCTTTCTTTCGTTTGCTGAGGTCTAATCAGGTTTAACCGCTCAGTACTTTTCCTCTTTCCCTTGTAGAACTCATGTGGTCTATTGCTTCTGTGTGAATCGAAAAAGGACTGGGCTATCTTTTTATACAGAACTTCCTGGAAAAACCTTAGCTCCAGCACCTTTGATTTTCAGGTTTAAAGGAAAGAATTCGGGTCAGTTATATAATTTAAGTTGTTTAAAGAACATATTTCCAATTACAGGGACAAGAACAGTATTATCCAAATTGCAGCCACTTGCATACTACCTTTGTTTTCTGATGTAACTACATACCATCTGTGTAATATTCTTCCTCGATATTTCACATTAAACTGTCTCAAGTCTACACTATCCTTACCTTAAGCAGCATTTGTAAAATCACAGGTTTGATGTGCTAGTTGTAAGTTTTGAAAAAATATTAAAATTAAAATGTAATTGTTAAAAAGGAGTATTTTCCTATCTGCTATCTAAAATTATCTCCTATACCACCATGATAGCCTCCCACTTTGGGAAACACTCATTTAGAATATAGATTTTGTAACTACATAAAACTAAATTTGCGATTTACATGAAGAATTTTATAGAAACAAATGTACTATTTCAACTTAGCCAAAGATGAAATATTACTATGGTCAGCTCACAGTTAACTTTGGAAATTATAAAAATTTAGCATATTCTAGAATAATGGAAAATATCTCTTTGCCTATAGGCCAGAACTTATGTAAAACAAGGATAAATTTGTAGTCATTTACAAATCCTATGTCTTTAAAAAGCCATCTGAGTATTTTCTTTAAAACTTTGTCAGTTTTCATTCAGTTTGTTTTTTGTTTTGAGACAGTCTCACTCTGTTGCCCAGGTTGGAATGCAGTGGCTGCAATGGCACAATCTTGGCTCATTGCAACCTCCGCCTCTGGGTTCAAGCAATTCTCATGCCTCCACCTCCCGAGTAGCTGGGATTACATGTGTGCATCACCACAACCGGCTAATTTTTGTATTTTTAGTAGAGACAGGGTTTCACCATATGGGCCAGACTAGTCTCAAACTCCTGACCTCAGGTGATCTGCCCGCCTCGGCCTCTCAAAGTGCTGAGATTACAGGCATGAGCCACCATGCCCAGCCTCATTCAGTTTTAAACAAATGATCATATCGGAGCATTCCATTCTGGAGAGAACCGAAGGACATTGTTGTCCGTCTGGTTTAACTATATAGGCTGAACTAAAACAACCTAACAAGTGCTACCTATCTTTTCAACCCCACCCTCAGATCTTCTATCTCCAGAAGCAGAAACAAGCTCAGCTGTGATCTATCATAATTCCATTAATCCTACAATGAAGCATTAAATTAAACTTTCTAGCGGAGATTCTTCTGCTACAAGGAAAACTGTATCTTGTGAGGCCTGTATTTTATGCAGATAGATTTACTAAACAACGGAGAGAAGAATACAAATAAGCAAAATAATTTGGCAACTTGTGAAATCTCCAGTGGGGGTGTTGTAGTAACTGATTTTTCCTGTTATTATTTACTATAAAGATTTTAGTTACAGAGAGTTTAGTTTCACCTTAGAAACAGCAGTTCTCAGGCTGGGTGCAGTGGCTCACGCCTGTAATCCCAGCACTTTGGGATGCCAAGGCAGGTGGATCACCTGAATTTGAGAGCTTGAGACCAGCCTGGACAACATGGTGAAACCCCATCTTTACTAAAAATTCAAAATTAGCTGGGCACGGTGGTGCACACCTGTAATCCCACCTACTTGGGAGGCTGAGGGCGGTGAATTGCTTGAACCCGGGAGATGGAGGTTGTAGTAAGCCGGGATCATGCCTCTGCACTCCAGCCTGAATGACAGAGTGAGACTGTCTCCAAAAAAAAAAAAAAAAAAAAAAAATGGGAGAAGGAGAAAAAAAGAAAAAAGAAAGAGCAGTTCTCAAATGGTTCATGTTTCTATGGAATTCTCAAACCCATTCCTTTCTTTGTTAATTACAGGAAAAAACCTGACTTGAGCTAAAACCCTAGTGGAAGGCCTTTTGACATCCCTGATATAAATCACAAGCCTGGGTACTGGGGGGACTCTAAGGAGGACATATTCAAGTTAGTGGTAGAGACTGGGCCAGATCCCAAGTTCCTAACAACTCATTCAGTGTTTCCCAGCCTTCTCTGAGAGAACATGAAGATTCTTCTTCGGCAAATTCCATCTCTGGGTGTGATTTTAGTATTTGTCCCTTTGGTGTGCTGCCCTATTTCTCTAAAGCCAGACAATTACAGAATTCACTTAGCTCTTTGTAAAAAGCATGCCCTGGGAACAGCAGGAAGCTGTTCTTGTGCTACTATTCGGCTTTCTGACATAAAAGGGTTAGTACCCAAAAAGTCTATGGTCATTTTACAACACTTGCATCTAAATTCCATGTTACGTCTCATCAACCCAGATGTGGAAAGAGGTCAAGTGTTCCAGCAAATCCTTAAACAGCCAGATCATTAAGGGTATTTGAAATCTGCACTGAAATCCAGAATTATAGCACATTAGAACTGGAAGGGATAATAGAAATCATACAGTCCAAACTCCTCACCTTCATAGGTAGGTCTGGGTCATAGAATCAGTTTGTCAGAGTAAGGCTAGAACTTGGAGGCCAAATAGTCCTCTTTTGTTATCATAGTATTTTCTGAAGCTCTTTTCTTCTCTGACAGCAGTGGCAGTGATGCCTGATCAACCTCTATGATGGCAACTACTTAGCATGTGGTGTATAAACCCATGTCCTTAAGCGTTGCCTCCTAATACCTTGCAACAGGAGGCTTTTTTGGTGAAGGCTACTCAGCCAAGGCTAGGAGAGATCCTTTCTGCACACAGACCTTCTGTGCCACAAGGTGCAATACCTAGAAAGCTGGCTAATGAGAGAGGAAGTAAAGCACATCCCTAGGGCCTGCTGAATTGACAAAGACACAGTAGCAACAAGCAAAACAATAACAAAAACCACCCAAGCCTGAACTCCCTATGTTATTGCTGTCAGAAGTACCACCCTACACAGAAGCAGGACTCAAGAGTCCTCGGCAGCCCTTTCCTACCTACTGTGCCTGTTTCTAACCCCAGGTATAGATTCCAGGCCTCCCCTCCTCTCTGTGGGTTAAAGAAGTCTCCATTCACTCTCCCAATATCATAACCCTCATTTCTCAGGCCACCCTGGGATCACCTCTGCATCTGACCAGCCTCACGTGGAGGAAGCTTACCTGTCAGCGTCTCCGAGGCCCAGGGAGGTATTTCGTTGCAGCGTCTCCCGTACCACAGCCATCCCATCAGGGAGCCGGTTCAGGCGACGGGTGTAGAGGCCAAGTCCACCATCAGTCATGTATCTTTAAAAGGAGAAGAGTATGATGCACATGAATGTCAAAAGCAAGGGGCTTCCAGGCCTGCATTCATATCCAGAAGCCCTGCACAGCCCCCTGCACAGCCACCAAGTCCTCTAAGGGGGAAGTAACTGAGGATTCCCTGAGGTTCTGGCACTGATCACAGCCCATGGATAACTTAGCTGGTGATCCAACCTATAGGATCACCAGCTTGCTAACAAAAACGTAAAAAAAGAGAACGAACTCAGCTTAATTAACCCAAACTCACAGGCACCTACGAAGCAGAAGGGAACTAGTGAATAAAATTAACTGTCAGATGGATTCATGACATTCTTTTTAATGTCAGCGATTATACAAGCAGGTGTTTTACCTGAGTAATGGAAATGGAACTGACAAATCATTAGCAAATCATAGGCAATATTACAGAACAGTGCAGTGGAAAAAACAGGCAAGGCTTTGAGAGGGTGGAAAGAAAGGATAGAGGATAGATGAGTGACCTTTGCCATCACAGGCAAGTCACTTCCCTGGAGGGTGAGTTTTTCACCCAAACTATAGGACTATCACAGCCTGTGATATGTGGGAATATCACAACATGGGCATGAGGATTAGTGAGATAAGGAACATGAAAGTACACTGCAATTTGTGTAAGACTATATAAGTGGAAGACATTATGGTTGTCATGATCATGGAGTGAATTTCACCCTTGATACTGATGTTTTAAGGGGGTTGTCACAAAACTCTGTGAAGAACACTAATGCTAATTTATTCTTTTTTTGGTAATGCTACAAAGCTGTCTTCTGATGAAATCAGTGCTGCTCTTGGGAGGGAGGATGTCTGGAACTTTCTGTACAGATGGCTGATTGTCTACCAACCAGACAAGTTCCTAAAAGCCTAGCCACTAGTAGGAGGTAGCTCAGTCCAAGGCAGCTGTACCTTATATCTACCTTGGCTTCCTCACAGCCCCCATAAAGGAGGCTGGCTGTGTCATTTCCCTCATCTTCAGAGGAGAACAGGAAGGCAAAGCAAAACTTGGGCAGAGCCAGAAACCAAACTTGGATTCCTTCAATCCCTTATGGGCCCCATCAGATCGCCCTGCAAGCTATCTGAAAATGCAAGCATTTTACATGCCAAATCAAGTAATATATAGTAAGAGGACTAATGAGCCATTATTTTTCTGAAAGAGGGTCAGCTGAACATGGAAAGTTTTATTGCACTTGACATTTTAACTTTTGCATATATGGAGTCGACCCCGAGGGTTCCCAATCCTTGAATTTCTTCTACCTGTAGCTGGGGATCTTTTGGGGATATATTTTTCAAGAACAGAATTATGAGATGCAAACAAGATTGCCCAGACCAGGAAGTTCAAGTAAGGGGCAGAGAAGAAAATTCTCACTGGAGTTGTCTCATGAGAAAAGCATCTTCCAGAATGGGTAAGAGGAACCCAGGAAGCTTCTAACCTATTGTGTCTAAATTCAACACCTCCAATGTTCCCTCCTCCTCCCTTTATGACATTGATGGCAACGGAGTCACGAAACTTCAACATAATGAAAAATCTGTTGGAGTGAAAATCAGACCAATGTTTGTGCTTGTATTGAAAATGCACAGAAGAGACTGAAGTTTTCACTCAACTTTATCATTTTAAAAACCACTCTGTGAATATACTAAAAAACCATCAAATTGTATGCTTTAAAATGGTGAATTTTTAGCCGGGGCATGGTAGCATGCACCTGTAGTCCCAGCTACTGGGGAGGCTGAAGCAGGAAATCGCTTGAACCCAGGAGGTGGGGTTGCAGTGAGCCGAGATGGTGCCACTGCACTCGAGCCTGGGTGACAGAGTGAGATTCCATCTCAAAAACCAAAAACAAAACAAAAACAAAACAAAAAAGGAAACCCCAAAATAAAGAATTAAACAAATGGTGAATTTTATTGATATAGATTTAAATGTCAATAAAAATATAAAAAACAATTGCAGTATAGTTAATAATTATTTGTTAGATTACCCTTCAATGCATGTCTTTCACACTAAACAGTAAGTTCTTTGCAGGCAGGATTTCTTATTTGTCTTCAAATCATTATCTTTTTTTTTTTTTTTTTGAGACGGAGTCTCGCTCTGTCGCCCAGGCTGGAGTGAGTGGCCCGATCTCAGCTCACTGCAAGCTCCGCCTCCCGGTTTACGCCATTCTCCTGCCTCAGCCTCCGAGTAGCTGGGACTACAAAGACGCCCCGCCACCTCGCCCGGCTAGTTTTTTGTATTTCTTAGTAAGCAGGAACGGGGTTTCACCGTGTTAGCCAGGATGGTCTCGATCTCCTGACCTCGTGATCCCCCGTCTCGGCCTCCCAAAGTGCTGGGATTACCAGGCTTTGAGCCACCGTGCCCGGGCTCAAATCTATATCTATGCATGAGCTTAGTACATACTACGTGCTTATTAAATACTGTTTTTTTAACAAAAATATGAACACATGAATGAATGAAGCCCAAAGACACAGCCATAGGGCTGTGCAAATTTTTTTTGCAAGAACACTGATTACAGGTTTTCTTTCCTCTTAAGCATTAACAAACTTACATTTAAGACATATGGCAAGCAAATTAAACTGTCGATCTGCCAATCTACCCATCATCCATCTATCCATCCATCCAGCCAGCAACTCTCCAACAGATAGAGTGACTCAGGGTAGAGTAATGGGTTATGGGCATCCATCCTACAACTAGCACAAGGAGGAAAAAACACCTACACCAAAATGTCATAACTTTGCCAGAGGCTGGACTTTCCAGATCACATGTCCTTTCAAGGAGAACTCAGTGGAAGCTCTTCACAATACAATCTATTGCACCATTAAGCAAGGCAGTTAATTTTGATTTTAGCAAAGTCTGTCCAGCCAGTTAGATAAACAAAATTCTTTCAACTGGGGAGATCTTGTCAAAGGACAAACAAACTAATTTTAGCATTCATTTCCCTGCTGGATTTTTATTGCTGGTGAAACAACACACACAGTTGGGTAATTACACACACACAGGCATATAGACAAGGCCCACACATACAGAACCCTGGCTTCCTGCTAAGGCCAGACTGTGGGGCCTGGTAAGCATTCCAGACACAGAATGCTGAGACATATTGCAGCCCCAGCCCAGCTATACCCGGGTGCAATGTGGATGTGTCAGAAAATGACAACCCCAAAAAAGCGGGAAAGCCTCTGAGAAATGGGACTGAAATGGAACTGAACGTGTGAACTGGGCTTGTTGCTGGGAATTCTGACTTTGTTTCGGCAGAGGGGAGGGGAAAGGCAAAGCTAAATCAGGATCTTCTGCCCTCTCAAACTGCAGGAAGAACTGAAAGTCAGGGAGCTGAATGCAACTAGTCTGACAATGATCTAGTTTCAAGACTGCAAGTCTATTTCACTTACTGTGCGCATGTAGAGGGAGGGCAGGCAGGGTGGTAAGGAAAATGGGGAACTTACTACCTCTTCTTCTAGAGATAAGTGAATGTGTTCAATTGTTTTTTTAACAAAAATATTCTTTAAAATAAATTATGTTGCATGTTTCTCCCTGGGAGACGGCACAGCACCAGAGACAGAGCTGTGGTTAGAGCCAGCCTCACACTCTAGAAACTAATTTAAAATATTTCTAAATTATTATCCTCCAATTACGATGATTTACAAACAGCTCTGCATATATTTAAAAATAACTCCTGTATTATACAGTCAATGAAAAATATACAAATTTGGGTTTGCTGGACCAAAATTTGTATAGGAATTGGCTATTGTATACATTAATACAGACTGCCTTAACAAAGTGAAGCCCTTAAGAAAGCATAATTCACAGATGAAGCAGCCATGGGTGTGCTTATCTGAAACACTGGCTTTTGCCCAGGGGTGTTAAAAAAGCTTGTGTTTCTGAAGGTTCGGGGAGCCAGGGGACTCACGGCCTCACCCACCTCTTTAGGAGCTTTTACAAGAGGCTCATACTGGGTGAAGAAATGACTTGCCTGAGGACACAAGCAAAGGAACCATCTGATCCAACAACTGAATCTCAGAACAACCATGCCACACTTTCCTTCTCCTTAGAGGGATAAACAATTAGTGCTAGAGCCTAATGAGGTGCTGGTAACATCCTAATGTCTTCTGAGTGGGCTCCTGACTGAGTTGCCAAGCTACTGAACTATCCCCCTCGTTACCCTTCCGAGTTCTGTAGCAGTAGGTGGATGGAGGCGGCTCTCCACATTCACCTTCTAAAGCTTCCCCAGAGACCCCTAGATGGAAAGAGTAAGAGCCTTTGCTAAAGGGACAAGGTGACTGTGGGGTGTTTTTCTTGCTTCCTTAGGGTGGCCCATGAGCATCAGCGTTAAGGAACATGACTCTGTTGTTAGACCCAAGTTGTTCAAATGCCTTCTCTGCCCCTTGCTGGCTGAAGGACCTAGTATACATCATTGTTAGTAAGTACTAATGGTACTGAATGCTCACTGGGTACTGTGTTAAGTGCTTCACATAAATCATGGCGTTCAACCTTCAAAATCATCTTATCAAGTATATTATCATCTCTATTGTTCAGATGAGGAAAACAGAACTGTGGTTAAGATCCCAGTGCAGACAGGTGAATTCAAATCCCAACTTTGTCACATTTCAGTGCAATTTCTTCTAGCTTAAGTTCCCTCATAGGATTGCGGCAGGTTAAATGAGACAGTGCATATGTTTAGAAAGCCCAATGCCTGGCATGTAGGGAGTACTTCCTAATTATTAGATGCTTACAGGAATGGCAAGACCTAGTTCCTGCTCTGGTGAAGCTCAAAACCTACTGGGGACTAAGACATGCAAATAGCTCTACTGCTACATAAAAGTGGTATAACAGATGAATGCATGACTCGCTTTGGGAACACACGGGAGAAAGCATCGCAGAGGAGCGCTGTTTAAGTTGGCCCTAAAGGGTGCAGAGGAGTTTGCCAGCCAAAAGAGGATCCATCGAGACACATGGATAACATATGCAAAAGCAGAGAGAAATGGAAGAGGGGAAG